TGTCCAATGCCACACCAAAGGAGGAAGCAAGCAACCTTAGACAGCGCTGGATACTGTTTTTCAAGACTGCGGAGTGCCTGGACAGGGAGCAATGGGTAGAATAACCTAACTTCTGATGTCTGAGGTACTTGCCCCCTTGTGCCTTGTTGTCATGCCAGGCTTGGCTTCCACTGAGTTCCTGAGCATGTAGATCACAAGCTGAACTGCATCAAATGATCTCACTCTGGCCAATGCCGTGCTGTCAAGGAGCTCAATATAGGGTAAGCATCCTTCAGTCTTGAGAAACTATGGTAACATGCTCTGAATAGAGGTCTTGGAACAGCATCTAGTATGGCTGAGGAGGCCAATTTGAGAGTGACAATCCCTTCCGCACTGAAGACAAATACAATCTGTACCCTGTCCAGTTCCCTGATTTTGCTGATTTCGGCGCTGCCTCTTTGTCTCAGCCTGCTGAACAAGTGTCTCTTCAAATTGGGAGAGACCATGCTGCACCGCCTGCCTCCAGGCTGAATGTTCAGATCTCAAGGTTTCCGATCTGTTGAGGTCTTCAGATCCCACTTGCGAATATCCTTGTATCGCAGCTGTGGTCACCCCCGGGGCGCTTTCCCTGCACTCATTCGCCATACAGGAGATCTTTTGGAATCTGACCATCGGCTATTCTGACAACATGCCCAAGTCAATGTCGATGTCGCTGTTTCAGTAATGTATACATTAATGTATACAGTAATGTATAACCCTAACCCTAACCCTTACTCTATTTGGAACTTTGTCCTGCCAGGCGATACCAAAAATGTGTCGGAGACAACGCATAAGGAACATGTTCAGCTTCCTTTCCTGCCATGCACAAAGGGGTCCAGGATTCACTGCAGTAGAGGAGTGTACTCAGGACACAGGCTCTATAGACCTGGATCTTGGTATATGCCATCAGTGTCTTATTAAGCCATACTCTTTATAAGTCTAGAGAACATGGCAGCTGCTTTGCCAATGTGTTTATCCAGCTCGACATCTAGGGAGAGAGTGTCAGAGACCGTTACGCCAAGGTACACGAAGTCATGAACAACCTCCAGTTCTTGAGTGTGGAGGTGGCAATAGAGGGAGGGGAGTCCATGCCCTGGCCCATGACTTGTGTTTTCTTCAGGCTGTTAATCAAAAATCTTGGCAGGCCTTACTAAAACAGTTCATAAGTTGTTGGAGCTCTTCAGCGGAATGGACAACAACAGCTGCATCATTTGCGAAGAGGAAGTCCCACATGCATTTCAGTTGGACTTTGGTCTTCACCTTCAATTTGGAGAGATTAAAGAGCTTTCCATCTGATCTAGTCCGGAGATAGACACCTTCTGTTGCAGTTCCAAAAGCATACTTCAGCATGACAGCAAAAAAGATCCTGAATAGAGCTGGTGCGAGGACACAGTCCTGTTTCATTTCACTTTGGATGTCCAAGGGATCTGATGTTGAGCCATCAAAAACTACAGTGCCCTTCATTTCCTCATGAAAGGACCTGATGAGGTTAAGGAGTTGAGGTGGACATCCAATCTTGGGAAGTATTTTTAAAAGGCCGTAGTGGCTGTCGTTGTTCCCTACATTTTTCCTGCAACTGTTTCCTACCATGTCAGTGGTGGATCTATGAGCTCAAAATCCACACTGTGATTCTGGATAGACTATGTCTACGAGCATCTGGAGCCTCTTCAGCACAACACGGGCAAGCAGCTTCTCTACAATGCTGACAAGAGAGATGCCATGGTGGTGATTGCAGTCGACCCTGTCACCTTTGTTCTTGTACAGTGCGACAATGCTCAGTATAACCTAGCTACAAAATGAAACTTGGTTTCAGAAATAAGCAAAACAAAAATTTATAGTCTAATCAATACTGAGGAAGGTGCTAGGTCATTTGTATCCCAGGGAACTTTGGTCACAAAGAAGATTGCAGTGTGTGGAACAGATTAATAGACATAGTAAAACATTTCAAAGGTGAAAGTGGCATGATGTATAAATATTATAAGATTAAAAAGCAACTTTCTGTTCTCTTTAACGTATAAAAACAACAAAGACAAAACAACTGTTTGAAAACATAAATATTATATTCTTGGGAACAAACTCCCAAACATGCCTTGAAATAATATGCCTTACATCTAGGCATAGTCATGCTTACAATAGACCCACTGATATCAATAGGACATGTTAGTTGTGACTAATTTGTCCCAGCTATTTCAGTGCAGCTAATCTAAGCCATGTCTATCTCTGGATCCAAAGCTCCATTTTAGATTGGTGCTGGGTTTTATTTTTATTTTTTGGGGGGGGGGAATCTCAGGCATAGTTAAATATGTAAAAGAAGGCTTTTAAAAAAATTCTGCACCAAGACTCAAGCTACTTTCTTTGTGCAAAGCTGCTTGCCTCTTCAGCTTTTGTTTTCTTGCTTCACTGTACTGACAACAGTGATGCTAATTATCAAGCAAAACAATATAATTACACAGAGAATTTTTTGTTTTGCTAATGTAAAGATTTGTTCCCCCTCTCTCTGCTAAAATACCACCACCACCCACTGCTGAAATTATTTCCTCTCACCCCGAAACAGTGCTTAATCTGGACTGAATTCTGCACTCAAGACTCCTGTCTGAATATAGAAAATCACATCCTTTCAAGTTAGTAATCCATAATAGTGACTAGCAAACCATACAGAACAACCAGCATGTAAGGCATCTTGTCCCTCTTTTGTGTGATGGTTGCTTAACCATTTAAACTTCAACAACTGTCAATGTGCTCCCGTAGCTATTGTTTTTCAGATAGAACAAGTCCCAAAATTTTATTGATACATAAGCAGGCACAAATGGCAACATAAAATTCCCAACGCTTAACATCAGATCTGTTGGACTCAGATCTCCTGGATGCAAAGTAAGGCCCTCTGAGTCTCAAGGTGAAATGGAAATTTGGACATGTCTCAGTTAAGTCCCAGAGTCAAACTATGCATTGCAGGTAGCACATAACTGGAAGCTGAAATCCAAATTTGTGATTAAGAAATTTTGCCATGTTTGAGCAATCATACTTGCAAATGAAGTCTCTGTTTATCTCCCCAATACCAAACCCAAACCACAGCAAATTGGTTTTATCTCCCCTAATACCAAACCCAAACCACAGCAAATTGGTTTGCAGAATCATAGATGGGAAGAGTTTCTGATTTGATAATCATAATACCAAACCCAAACCACAGCAAATTGGGTTGCAGAATCTTAGGAGATGGGAAGAGTTTCTGATTTGATAATCAGGTGGTTTCAGGATTTAAAGGAATTCTCTATTTTAATGGCATGTCATCTGTAATGTGTAGTCTGACTTTAACTCTGTTCAATCCTATTGCTTCCAGTGGGAAGGACTTCGTTGTAGTTTAAACCTAAAATATGTGTCATGAATGGGGAGCAGCACTCAAAAGCTGATTTGGTGATTCCACAATATTAGCAAGAGAATGGCAAGGCTTTGGATGAAATGAAGATCCTGGGATGGTAAAAGGCTCTTCTTGATATTATTTCTCTTACTGTTTTGGAAAATAACCTGACTTTTCCCCCCAATGCCATAAAAACATCTTTTTAAAAGTACATTTCAAAGAAGGACATGACAGTAATGCAGAGGAAGTGAACAGCAAGCTTGCACACATTTGTGAAGGACTTTTAAAAACTCTTTCTTTGCACTTGCAACAAATTATGGAGTAAAAAGTATTTGTTGCAAGTACAAAGATAGAATTTCCCCGAATTACTATGAAATTATGAAAATCAGAAACTGCATAGATTCTACTCTTTTCAAATGGTGGCATAAAGGCAAAAGGAAATGTTATCAAGCCTTTTTGCATAAATGATTGCTACTTATGTTTTGCTTAAACATACTCCCACTTAGTGCAGTAGTTTGAAGCCTGTCATATTAACTTGAATTTGTACAGGACTTGGATGCAAACTTTCCACTCTTGAAATCACATACACTCCCCTCTAACACCACCCAGCAATCCTGATGGCCAGTCAAAGTGTCAGCATGGGTGGTATGGTTATCACATGGAAGTAACACAGAAACTTTCTTCTGAAACTGCTTTGTGCACTTCTCAGTTTGCATTAAAGCACAGAGCCAGAAGTGCAGGAAGCAGTTGGGCAGACAGGCACTTAAATTCTGGCTCCACTAAAATCAGCAGCAAAAAATGTCCGAGATCATTATACTGAAATAAGTATTTGTCGAAGAATGTTAAGAGTGGCTGAGGTGACTCAACTATCTGTTTACAGCTTTGCTTAAGGTACTGTCTTAAGATTATGGGGTAAATCGATGGCAAGAACTACAAAGCATCTGGGAATCAATGATTTTCTATTATTCTGTGCAAAGCAGCAGTATATTCATTTCAAAATATACTAAACAACTATACTAATGCAGACTTGGTAGATTCAACATTAATCAATAATTTTGTCCCTCCCCAGATCCCTGCACTCTCAGCTTGCTTTTTGTAAGGTCTTACCTGATAAAGAAATGCAGCATCTCCCAAATTATATCTAATGTGCTGCCGTTTTTGATTACCTGAATAACAGTATTATACTCATATAGATTTAGGAATTTAAAAAATATATATTTTTTGTACTTTTACTTTTTGCAATATATTGAAGTCCAAGCTGAATTTATAAAAGATCTGCTTGACTCTGCATAGTTAGACACTCAAATGTAGTCTAACCTAAAATGAAAATATTGGAAAATATCTTGGATGTTAAAAACAATGCCTTTGGACATAAGTCCAGGATAGCACACATCTGTGTTTGACAGAAATGAATGCCTTATGATATGAAAAAGAAGCAAAATTGACCGAGAAGTCCTAGCTACAAGTAGCTTGTAGTTGTTACTCCTCAGGTGAGCAACTGGTAAGTGGTGGAATGAACATACAAAGTAATTTTCACTTAATACATAGCTGTCACATAGTAAATGAAATCAATTTCAAACCCATACAGCAAGGTATAGAAAAAGTTTGATGGGCGGTGAATTCTTACCTCAACAATATCTGAATTCGTTCGACTCTCGTGTGGCTCATTGTACTCTGTATACTTCAGCAACACCTTATCCATGTCAGTGCTGGCATACTGGAACAGTTTGTTGGTGCTGTTGAAGATGATTAGAGCAATCTCACAGTCACACAGAACACTCAGTTCGTAAGCCTTCTTCATTAACCCAAATTTCCTCTTCGTAAATGTCACCTAAAAATACGAAAACAAAGGGAGAATCAGGTCTGCTCCTCTACAGATCTTTCACTTATCACAAAATGCTATCTTGTACTTGTCATAATTCCTTGCCCTAAACAACTTCAGGAGGGCAGTGAACCAATCACTATAAAATACATGCCAACATGGGACAAATATTTGAAGGCCAAGTAACTAAGGAAAACATATTTAGTCCCTAATTTGGGCTTAGTATTTCGGAATCTTATCTACCACTTCGAAGTGCTGGATAAGGGAATTAGAATGTCCTGTATAATAATGTGAGTCAATGTACTTACATTTGCCCAAACATAAATGGTATCATATGTATACACCTAGTATTATGTGCTCTTCTCTTATTTAAAATATTCTAATGCCAAGATTCTAGCCAAAGCCTCCCTGCAGTGGGGTTCAGAAAATAGAAAGCTAAATCAAGTTAATTAAAACAATATATTTAATTAAAACAACATGAAATATTAAAAACAGCCAATAGAGTAAAAAACCTTGAACTACCACCACAGTGTGACAGACAGACCTAAGTTTTAAAATCAGCCTGTAACAACCAGTTCGTTGTAGCAAGGCCCATGAAAAACAATCAAGGAGGTAGCCAAGATCATATTTCAAAACGGGAGTACCACAGAAAAGTTGCTGAAATATAGTAGTTAAACTGATGGCTCTCAGAACACTGTTTTGATGCATTTTCATTTGCAGAGAGCAAGCGTCTGCCCCTATTCACTTCGCATGTGGAACGGCCCCAGTCTCTAAAGTGATGTTTTTCTTCACAGAACCATGAGAGGCTACTTTTTCTGGCCTCCAGCTCCAAGAGTCCCACAGCCAGGTAGTGGATCCTAAGAAGCCATCTTTTCCACCTCTGCACCTTCATCAGTACCATTAGCTATTCTGGCCTTGCAAATTCACCACGTATATAAATAATTACACTTTCACTTCATTTCATTTCACATCATCCAGTGTCAGCATGGTATTAATTAAAAAATAAGCTAAGACAAGCATCAGCAAGCTAAACTTAAGTGCACGCATCCAAAGTGAGGCATACCATTCATGAAAATAGACTAAGAGCTTATACTTTATATCTCTTCCAAGCCATCTCTTTCAGCTCTCCCCTTTCCATCTTGCTTCAAGAAATAATAACGGTACAAGTTTACTAGTTATGATCATGTTCAAGAAAAATAATCAGATCTAGAATCATCCTTTCTTAAATAATTTGGGAGATACTGTATTCTCTTATTGTAGCTCTATGGGGAAGCTTCCATTGATAAATAAAAGGATACAGAATATGAACCATTTCTCATACCACTTTTAGCAGCAGAGTGGGTTGACAGAAAGCCACAGCACTGGAAAAGTTTATACATACATCAGTTCATGGAATTCATGGAAGCAGTGACCAGGTAAAAAGCACAGGAAGTGTGGTTTTATCTATTTTAAATACTGGTTGTCTTTAGAGAGAACTTTACACATGTATATCTGCATATAACTGAAGAAAGAACCACATGTTACAGTTTAACTTCTATATTTTCTATGAGTGATACTTAAAAATAACACTCACTGGTAGAAAACTAGAGGCATAAACCAAAGCAAAATTAATTATCTCATTAACTTATTTATTATATGTATATCATTCCTTCTCTCTAATACACAGAAGATAGATTACACTTTTTTTCCCCACTCTGCCTTCACAACAATCTTGTGAGGGAGGCCAGACTGCACACCCAAAGCTACATAGTGAATCTCATGGCTCAGTGGCTGCTAGAACCTAGATCTTCCAATTCCTCATCCATGACATGACACAAACTGGATCTCACTGTGCCCTTGGTTCCTTGTCTTTGTAGAACACCACTTGTTTGTGAGATAAACAACAACTATGTTTGCTAAAGCAATTAGTAGCCACATCAAAGATGAATACTGCTATGTTATACAATGTCTCAAAAATTAGCACATGGGTTATAAGGCTACTTAATTACATGCCATTATCAGGTCTTTAGTGCTACAAGCAAAAGTATATCTGCACATGCCTCTCTGCAAATCACAAAAGACTCTGATGTACATTGCTCATAAAGCTGTTGTGTTATCTTCTTATTTGTGTAATACAGGCTAACATCAAATGCCTCCCAGCCTGCCATGAAATCTCAGCTGGTCATGCTATGGAAAACGTGATGTTAAATCTGTGTAATCTCACCAGCTAGCCCATCTCAAAGAAAAGTGGCAACATGCCAATTCTCCACATATTTATTTTTCAAAACATAGGCTGAGTAATGTTACACATTCCTCATCTCAGTTGCTTTGTTTCCATTACAAAAATATTTTCTCCTCAAAGGATTACAGCATAAAATGTGCATAAATATTTTTCAAACCTGTTCATATACAACATTATTACACTGCATTCCCTCCTATCTCCCGTTCAAGGCAGCTTAATCCCATCATCCAATTATACCAGAACAGGTGGGTTTAACCCAGTTTATAAAATCAGCTAGGGAATTCCCTTTAACCAATGACCTTTGTGAACTAGTTCATATGTCAGCTATGATCCATAGGCCATTATGTATTGTTGTTGTTGTTTAGTTGTTAAGTCATGTCTGACTCTTTGTAACCCCATGGACCACAGCACGGCAGGCCCTGCTGTCTTCCACTGCCTCCCGGAGTTTGGTCAAATTCATGTTGGTAGCTTCGATGACACTGTCCAACCATCTCATACTCTGTCGTCCCCTTCTCCTTTTGCCTTCACACTTTCCCAACATCAGGGTCTTTTTCAGGGAGTCTTCTCTTCTCATGAGATGGCCAAAGTATTGGAGCCTCAGCTTCAGGATCTGTCCTTCTAGTGAGCACTCACGGTTGATTTCCTTTAGAATTGATATGTATGTTCTCCTTGCAGTCCAGGGGACTCTCAAGAGTCTCCTCCAACACCACAATTCAAAAGCATCAATTCTTCAGCGGTTGGCCTTCTTTATGATCCACCTCTCACTTTGGTACATCGCTACTGGAAAAAACACAGCTTTGACTATGCAGACTGTTGTTGGCAAGGTGATGTCTCTGCTTTTTAAGATGCTGTCGAGGTTTATCATTGCTTTCCTCCCAAGAAGCAGGTGTCTTTTAATTTCGTGGCTGCTGTCACCATCTGCAGTGATCATGGAGCCCAAGAAGGTAAAATCTGTCACTGCCTCCATATCTTCCTCTTCTATTTGCCAGGAGGTGATGCAGCCAGTGGCCATGTTCTTAGCTTTTTTAATGTTGAGCTTCAGACCATTTTTTGCACTCTCCTCTTTCACCCTCATTAAGAGGTTCTTATGTATACACAGCAGTATTTATGTTCAGTTAGACATGATCTGAGAACACCTGATGGATGTCAGGTGGATTACAGAATACACTTAACTGTGTTGTCAAGATTTGAAATGTTGTGTATATAGACTGCTAAAAAATTAAGGGGGCACAGAAAAAATGTAATTCTAAAAATCTATATTGTGCTTTGAAAACGAGGTTTGAACAGCAGTTTACTAAAAGTCATTGAAATAATCAGCTAAGTCTCCAGCCAAATCTGGAAGCAAAGTCAGTGTACAATAACATTGCCTTGCAAAAGGATCTCTTTCATGGCTGACAATCCAACATGTAAACAAATGGTAAGAAATAGAAAAACAAATGGGAGGGGGGGAACCCGCCTAGAGTCCTAAAGTGTGGATATTAGTTCAGCAGTACTTTATGCCCATGGGATTTTGCCTACCAGATAGAATATTAAGCAACTAACTATTCCTGCACGTGCTAGTGACCACTGAATCAAAATAATAGCTGTTATCTGCTATAGGGACAAGTTGCCACCGTCATAAATTATGAGAGCCATATTCTGCCACCCTGGTAAAAGCAATAAAGATTACTATTGAAAAGAAATCTGACTGTTTATAGGGATCAGGAACCTACTACACCAGCAAAATTCAATTGTTTGGCATTTAAAAGGGAAATGTAAATAAGTGAGAAAAAGATAAACACAGGGAGATAGAGATACATGCCACATCACACACATCTAATACCAACAGCACAGATACTAGGCAGCAGACACCAAAAAGCAGCAGGCATATAGTTGAGCAGCAGCAGGCTTCAGTTCCATAAACCAGCGACACAAACATCATGAATTTCCCTCCACAGATGCACTATAGCAAATGGCTGGCTTAGCTGGGTGAGAACATTATTTAATAATTCTCTCTGCCTGCCCATATAATATGTTTAAAGGTTAGGAGATGTATTTTACTTTCTATACTGTATTCTTTTAAAAACTTTGATGTTTTAAGAGAGGTAGTCTTGACTTTTCAATTTGCCTTTTAGGCTATAAGCTTCTGCATTTTTTGAATGTAATTAAAACATTCCTTTTTTTGTATTTCTAGTATTTTGGACTGAAACTTGCCTGCAACTTAAGTATACTTTTCATATATTTTTAAGCATTTGTGCCTAAAGGTTTTTTTTTCATATCTGTAAGACTTTTGGATGTTTTCAACAAGTTTGAAGTATTTTTGTGCATATAGAACACAGAAGGAATGTAGATAAATGATGCTTGTAGAAATAAGAAAGCTGTTGTTGCCTGCAATTATAGCCAACAAAGAAGTAACGTTTATCTTTTATCCAGAATAATTTTTATATAATTGGAAATTTTATCTGATTTCATTCTGGAATTAAGTCTTTTTCTGGGATAAACGGCAACTATGATGAACATACAGTCATGTGAAAAAGAAAGTACATGTATCAATTCTATGTATCATGACATAATAAAAATTATATGGTTTTTCACACATAGCTTCACTATTTTGGCTTTATTTTTGTAAAATAAATCATGACACGGTGTGATATATCATGTATTGTTGCTCAACTGAGGTTGTCTTTACCTATTTTTCAGACCTACTAAGGACACTGATTTTTATTATGTCCTGATATGTAAAACAATAGAATTCAAACAGAGCGTAACTTTTTCACATGACTGTAGGTTTCCAATTACCTCCCTAGAG